TAAATGGATATAATTCTTGCTTCTTAGAAAGACGTTACAAATGCTGTATACTTGCTTCCTGAAGATGATATAGATATAAATTGTACTGGCTTAGCAGAGTGAGGCTTGCAAAGCAGGCTGACCATTGACTATGTTTTATAATTATATTTTGAGCAGTATATTAATGGGCATGACAAGAATTTCACAAAATAAATCCCTTCTTAATGCTGAGAAGAGGGGAGATGCTTAAAGGAGAAGGGAATTGATAGCCTTTCTCTTTACAGGGTTCTTTTCTCCTCTTAGTGCATGTAACTCCCTATTAGGAATCATGGGATTAGTGCATGTACATCAAGGGGAGAATAATCAACATTTCATATTTTCTTATCATAACTTATTAGTCATGCTTTCTTTCTGAAAATACAATAAATACATCATCAGTTACTTAAATTTTGCTCTTCTGAACAGACATATCAGTAACCATTTGGAAAATTGAAATATACAGCAATGCAGAGAACAGTACAAAGCCAACACAAATCTCTTCATTCTGAATTTTATCTCCTCAGATAGGGGTTTTTTATACACGCGCGTGCGCACGTACACAGAGTATAAATTGAAATGACTCTAAATAGCTGAAGTTAATGTCACTAATGAAGATTAGCAGATGGCTTGGATTGGAAAAGCAAGCATAGATTTTATATCTTATTTTCTTCTGGTTTAATAGAATATAGCTTGTATATTTGACTACCAAGCCCTTTAAGAGCAATAATAAACAAAAATATATCATGTTTTTCGTCTTTTGCTTTTCAACCATGCTAGGTTTAATAAACTTATAGCTAGAGGAGCATTTTCTCTCTCCACCTTTCAAAATTTTCATTTATTGCTTGATTGTTTAGACTAAATACCATGTTCTCAAGTATGGACTTGCAAGCTGCCTGCCACGGAGTTATGGTTCTCAGACGAATATGGACAGATGCTATGCTCTTTGGCCTTGGCAGCGCTTGTCATTGTCATGAAGAACAATGGTGTTGCTCTCAAAGTGGGATTTGCAGTTCCGAGGTAGCATCGTGTTGACCTACGTCTAAGAACCTGGTGCGAAAGCTCGGAGACTGCTGGCATTGTGGCATCTCTCAGTTAGGAAGGCACAAAAAGCTGATGCTGAAGAAGGACCAGATAACTGGTATCCGGAGGTCTTGGCTCATAGGGATTACAGTTCTCTGTTGCTCATTGTGGGCTGAATGTGCTCTTGCAATTGACTTTGCGTCACTGAGCAAAATGTCTGTCTCCGGCACAAAGAGTATGGGCAACGTTCCTTTGTTCTGCTTTAACTTATCTTGAAGGGCTCTACACTTAATTGATGACCAATGAATATGACTCCTACCTTTGTCCTAATTGCCTAGTATTCACAGAAAAAGTGAGTGTCTGCTCACTTCCACGTGATACCACTTGTCTCCATCAACTGATGTCTGTATATTTGCTTGCCTGTATTTTCTGCAGATGGTTCGGTTACGACCTCTTAACCGGAACTTGGACCTTTCCAGTTCGACCAGTCCTATAGAAATCGTCTCACATAGCTGGGGTTTTGTCTTCCTGCATTTTGGCACTGGTTGACGTGCTCAGTAGGTCTGAAGTGACACAGTTGTGTTTAAGTTGTGTTAAGCAATAACGCAACTTTGCTGCTTCAGAGCAAAACTTTTATCAGGGGAGAGAAGTCCTTCCCAGGCCTGCTCACGTAGGCCATCACTACCTGGGAACGGGTCCCTCTGGCATTGATGAACCCGACAGAAGGGAGTTGGGACAAGGTCTTCACTAACAGTTGGAGTAACCAGCAAGCGGGGGTCACTGGACATCTGATAATTGCTAAAGGTACAGTTTCTGTCTGGGCCTACCCCAAAATCTGGTTTTGCTTCCTGTACATTTTGATGAAAGAAATGTGGGGTTGGAGGCTTTCAATAACGCCGAGTTCACACTGTGCAGAGTGTTTCAGATTGAAGACAGATAATATTCACATATTTTGGCATCTTGGAGAAGTATGTATTAAGAAGTCTAAGGCCAAGATTGGACAGACCTAGCCCAAGTGTGTTTCATCCAGGTGCTGGCGGGCAATGCAGATAAAAGTGAAAAATCCGTTCCTAGATTTCCTTTGAAAACTGGATACGCTGGTGTAGCTCACAGCATCTCCTGGATGCCCGTGTGCTTACGTCGCTTGGTGTGAAGTTTCTGGTTCACAGCAGACGATTCCTCCACGTTCTGGTTGATGCCTGTGGAAAGAAGCCCATCCCCGTAACGGTAATGCTGAATTTGTACTTTGACCCAGTTTGTCACAGCTACTCGTTTCCATGTTCCTGAACTTTTTGATCCGTAATGGGCTGCTCCAGAGCTGAGTGAAGCGGGATTTGAAGCAGGTAACAGCCATGCTGAGAGCTGCAAGGTGCATCGCTGGAAGGAGGAGGAACACCAACAGACCTGGCCAAATTCTTGGCCTGAGAAAATGGCGCAATGGCCAGGAGCTTTGCAAACCAGAGATAAGCGTGTATGTGGGCAGGCAAACTCTGACTAATACAAATGTGAAACCTCCCTGTGACAACTTAGGAGGCAGCCCTTGTCACGTTCACGTGATTGGGGTCAGAATTTGTCTTGAAGGGCTTATCTCCTTATTACACACGGCAACTCTTACTCTGCCACGCTTCCCCCTATTCATCTTGAAGACTAGTTTATCCGATTGTCTCAGCAATCTCTGCATCGAGATCCGTGGAGATCGTTGTTTGGTTTTGGGGGGTTTGGGGTTTTTTTTTACCTGCTATGGTTTTGAGGGAAAACTTTCTGGAAGTCAGTGTTACAGGGTCTGCGCCACGTTTGGTAGCCACCAGAAAATGTCATGAAAATATTTCACGCTTTGGAATTGGGAAGACAGTTGATTGGCATCCGTCAGCCAAACATGTCATGTTTCTCCTATCCTCAGCCTCTCTAGGTTTATGGAAAGCTGCCTTCAGTTTTCAAAACCGGGAAGAAAGTTAATTTGTTCACTTTCACTTCAGAGAGTGCTTGAGTGCAGCTGATCGTCTATTTCTAAAAAGCTTTACATTAGCAGAAGCAGCATTTTATCTTTTTAAGAGGAAATGTATTTTAAAAATAGGCACTTCAGCAGAAACTGGAATATAACAGTGCTTTTAAAATCTAAATTGGAAGTATTCTGTAGCATGGGGGCTACCACTACCAATTTGCAGTCTTAGACAAGTTATATTTCTTTTTTTATTTTGGCCAAGATGTATTTTCAAGAAAAACACACCGATTTACTAGTCGCGCTGAAATCTAATTTGCCAAGGGAGGAAGAGTGGGCAGCAGAGGCTAATCGGGAATGAATTTTTCTTTCCCCCCCGAGGCATGAACTGGTTCTATGGACCTCCTTTATTACGTGCATGCGCATCTGTGCGGAGGGCCAAGCTGTGCCCCTTCGTGTTATTTCGCTTCAGCTTTGTCAGAGCTGTACCTTGTGACGACTGAATGCTACTCGCCTGAACGCCAGGCAGCCGCTGTCAGCTGGCGTGTCGCTCACTCCTAAAGATCACCAGCAAGTACTGTAGCTTTAATGAAAGCCTTCTCTCTGAGAAAACTCACCATCCTTAACCTGATCGATTTGTTACAAACTTGTCATTTGGAGGGAAGTGTAAGTACCGGATGATCATTATTAGCCAAACCTAACGAGTAATAAAACTGTATACAGGGTACGCACTTACTGTGTATGTGTATATATTTTTGTACATTTTTACAGCTATTTCCTACACTTGCTTTTATGACGTTCAGAAGAGGCGCGCCTGAATCTGGTTAAAAACAAGAAGCTATTAAGAAAACCCAACCCTGTCACCTACTGTAGTTTCTACTAAGAACTGTGCCCAAACAAATACGCAGATTTACAGTGCTATGCAAATACTACTTTGTAAGTTGTCTCTTAAATTTTGCTTAAGTAGTTCACGCTGTTTTTACTGGGCTTTCAGAAAAAGATTAACGCAAAAGACTCATCTTGTAAAATAAAATAGCTTTGGCTGTGTGAAAGTACTGTATATTAGAATCTCATTCACGCTTTCAGTTGCTTATTTTAACTGTATGTGATTTTGTACATACTATGCTGGCATAGAGGGTTTTTTAATTGTGCTGAATGAAAAAGAGTGACTGCCCAGCATCTGGTTTTCTGCAGTGTTACTGAGTAAGTAGCCGATAATGTAACTGGGAGATCTGCATCCTTTTCCTATTTGCCACTCTGGTTTCTGTAACTAAACATGCACTAAGGGCTATTTTCTTTTTGTTTTGGTTGGTTTTATTTCCATTTACGCTTTTTGGTCTCAGTCCTGCAGATTGATCCATGCGAGGGCCACGTGTCTGCAGCGATAATCTGGGTGGATCGTTTTGTAGGGGCTGGGAGCCTGGGAGTGAAGAACAAGCTTAACCCTGCGGCCGTTCCCTGCACTAAGCCAGTCATTGAGAACTGCAGACGGAACTTGGTGCGTTACGGTAGCATTTCTAGAAGCAGCATATAAAGTTCTGCACGGTTCCTCCAAATGACCGGGATGGAGGGGAGGGATTCCTGAAGAATCCTCCAAAACAAACCTAAAGCTGTATGATCTGAGAAGTTGAGATTCCAGCAGGGTAAGCTGGCTGTACGGATAGGTGCTGCAGATTAAACCAGTTTTTCAAATCTGACATCTTTCAAGTTTCTGTTTTTCACTGGAAGATAAAGACCTTCCCCCTTCCTCAGCTGTGTGCCACATCATACACTCCCAGCTGAAAGCTGAAGACCCGCTGGAAGA